AACTTTTCCAAATTCGAAAAGTGTAGTGCTAACTTGACACACGTATTAAAATGACAAACAATTTGTGTCATTTAAAAAATGTGATATGGAAACGAACCTACTGATTGATTTTATAATTATAAATTACGATTATTTTTTAAAGCCTCAAATTGCATTTAAACTGTTTGACATTTAATGTCGCATGCAAATCGGGCATAATATTTTATTTGGCGAGTATGTAATCATATAAGCAACTGCTTTCTGATCAAAACTCGAAAATATTATCGTTCGTGCATTAAACCGGATTCACACTGAGCATTAAAAAGATAAAATCACTATTCAATTAAAAAATTCCACGGGGAAACGAACTTAATTACTATTTTTATTAACGTAGTGACGTGTTACATTTCAATGCCTAATTTTATGATTGATTTTTTTTTTTATTTCATGTCTAGTTGAAATTAGGTTTAATGCACGAGTAACATTGATAAAAAAAAATTATAAAAAAGGGCTATATAAGATTAAAAACTTTTACTAGGGATTTTCCTTACGGCTTTTTTTCAATATCAATTGTGGAACAAATTCTATGAATCAACCGTGCGGAACTAGACATTTTTAAAAAGTTAACGCTATTGCTGTAAATTCTAGGTAAACGCGCTTTTGTTTATTCACAATAAGTAGTAAGATATTTTTTGAGGAAAAGAAATAATTCTGCCAAATTAATGCATTAGCTGTTAATGGCTTAGGGTGTGGCCGCTGACCCGATAAATGTATGTTCGCATGTATGTATATTACTATCAGGTGTGCACTGCGACTTAGCATCTACCGTGCTCTCTGCTCTTCACAAATTTCTTCCAAACGTTTAGCCTCAAAAAGCTTAGAAAAGCTTTTGGGGATTGCGACCGATTGGTACAGCGGCCACATTGAGCTTCAGCTTCCCTCACATCTCGCAGCAATGTGTAGCGGAAATTCAATTGCTTCAGCCTTTACAATGGAGTGGTCAGTGGGCATGGTAATCTACCGGTGCATACAACCGGTCGAGCCCAGTGCGATCGCCGCAAGTCCTCAAAGTTGTAAAATTAATAATTCAGCAAAATCCGCTCCGAAAATAGGAAATCATGGCTCGAGACAGGAATGTCCCGCAAAAGTTAATGAGTCGAATTATTAGGAAAGGCTTGGGATGAAAAATGCAAATGTCTTTTGGTGAAGCCCGCTGATAACTTGCAGAGCAAAATTTTGTATACCGAACAATTTTTTACCGTGTTGAAAAAATTTAGCAAGCAATATGATAGGACGGCCATCTAATCAAAGGAAGTACCCGACCTGATTCCAGTCATTGTATGTTGGTATGTTGTCCCCTACGATGGGGTCACTGAGTTGCATTTGTGCGAAAAAGAGGTCAAAACAACGGCGGAAGTTTGAGAAGGAACCGTTTTGGAAGCTCAAAAACCAGTCACAGACTTTACAGCAGGACTCTGCGCCGGCCCACAATGCTAAATTGACAAAAACCTGGCTCCAAAACAATTTGCCAGTATTCATTTACTCTGAAGAATGGCACTCAGGCAGTCCTGATTTGAACCCGCTGGATTACAAATTGTGGGCAATTATAGTTGTGGCATGATTTGCCACAAAAGACAACTTTGATTCGTGCTATGGCCAATTTTTCAATGAACGAGATGCGTGCGTCTATTGATGATTGACAGGTTGACTAAAGGCGTGTGTGAAGGCCAAAAGCAGACATTTCGAATGAATTTTTCAAGTTTCAAGTCGCTAAAAATTTTCGTTGTTTTTTTATTTTTTATTTTTTTGTGGATGGTGTTGCGAATTTTCTTCCATATAACTAACGCATGATAAAAATCTACTGAAAACAATATCATTTTGAATTTCGGTGCTAATTCATTGACCGCAGCTGTATATCAATAAATATGTAAGAAAAAATAGGTTCAAAAACAGTCATTAATTTTAATTTTATAGCATAAAAATGTTTGTATCGGTATTTTATGTTACTAGCAAGTCTAGAGGGCTACCAATGATGTACATAACTTCGAGGGATGAAGTAATCTTAAAACCAGCTACATTCAGATCATAAACTATAAGCACAATCGTAAATTTCTTACATAAAACTATAGTAAAACAGTGCAAAACTAGACAAAAAAAAAAGTTCTAGGAAAAAAGTATGTCAATGAATTACTCATTCAAATTTAAGGAAATAATTTTAATATGCACATTTCCTACTTAATTTGATTACCACCTGCAGTTATTGCCTCATCTACATATCAGCTGACCCAAATCGCATAAATTCTTAAATTTATTGCCTCTTATTTGTATGACAGCGAATGTGGCANTTTTTTAACTTCCAAGAAAGAACACTTGAACAAGTTGTAAATGTGTAAATTTGTATGTAGTTTACATATGTACATAAGTAAGTATGACGGTACACACACGTGTACGCCCTTACATTGCCATATTACTAAATTCCACTATTTATTTACTAGCACAATAATGTGACCTTTATTTAGCAAAACTCTTTACCTTTTCTAGCATTCGGCTTTGTATATTTATGTCAAAATTTGTGCGCTCTGTTAAACAAAATTTCGCCGAATACAAATACCATTTCAAATGCATACTCCCACTTATGCGCTGTAACAGCAATTCAAGGCTGAGGTACTAGCTACCCTGCAAGGAAACCGCGGACTAGTGAACCAAATTTCTAGTTCCGTACTAGGTCTTTATCGCCAAAAACGAACTAGTCCGATAGGAACTAGATCCCCACCTGTCCAAAATCGGCGAAAAGTGGTACTTTTAAGAAACTATTTTTTTCAGTTTTTTTCACTACAGATCTATATCTAAACTGACGAATTTAGAAATGGTTCGGAACTATAGAAAAAGGGATGCAGAACGAACTAGATCCTATTGGTCGAATTTAGAACAAGTTCGGAACTATCGAAAAAGGGATGCAGCGGGCGGCTTGTTTACTTTACATAGATATGTGTTCGGCGGCTTTTTCGTTCAAATACGCTTCTATTCTGTGCTTCGCAGATGCTTTTTCATAGCTTGGTAATACAAAACTAAAATTTGTGTTAACATTTCAACATCTTGGGACAGTCTGGAATCTAAGAAATAACAGCGAGCACCTCTGCAAACTCAGCTACAGCTAAAGGTATGTAAACGTACATTTCTTACAATCATTCAAACAAATTTAATTTCAAATTGAAAACACATTTCTTCCAAAATAACTTAAAATCGTACACACGGAAGAACCGAAAAGATTGAAAAATCATGATACTTTTTTCTTTCGTCTGTCGATTTTAGAACTGGTTCGGAACTATAGAATTTAGGACTAGTTCGGAACTATCGAAAAAGGGATGCAGCGGGCGGCAATTGACACTTCCTAGGACATCGCCATATTAAATTCGCCAGTTGCTTGCATGCAAAAGAGATTTATCGCGAACCGGTACTGGGTCTAAATGTACTAGAAGCGCCCCAGTTCAGAACTAGAGATTTTCCCCACAGGGTACATACATATACACATACCAACATATATACTCGTATTTACATAAATAAAGGTAGCATAGAAAAAGGATACAGTTGCTCTACATTTAACATGCATACATACATACCCACACAGCACAGCAATGTTTATGGACAATAGTTAAATGGAAAACAGCGTTTATAAGGGTCACGACATGAATAACAACGCTCGCTCGCTCGCTCGTTCGCTCTTAGCCAGTAAGTAAACCAAACCCCCAGATTGCCAACAAAATATTTTGCAGATTTTCAAGACACAGATTACGAATGGAAAATGCTGCTATAAAGATTTGTAGTTATTTTCCTATACAAATGCCTGTTGTTGTAGATGGGAAAAAGATGATTTCGGTTTGTTCACTCATTGTAGGCAATTTATATTTTACACCTGGCTACATTTTTGGCAATTTTCATAGTATCTACATACATACCACACACACATTCTTGTATGCTTACATTGATGCTGACAAAGGTTTTTGTATTTTCGCATAGAATTGTAGCAAGTGAGCTGCTAGCTGCTCAGCGTAAATAAGAAATTGGCATGAATAAACAGAAAAGAAATGTTGGTAGTTAAATAGGCAAAATACTGCTATACATTAGTGGAAGGCATTTCAGTTCGAGTTCGCATTTCCTTTTTACTTTGCAGCTTCCATTTCGTATTTTGCAGTGCGCTTAGTCACGCAGTAAGGAAGGAAATGGAACAATCTTGCAAAATAAATATGCAAGCAAGCTAAGCAAATAAATACGAAGAGGCACTAACACATGCTTATGTACAGTGCCGGCCACTTTGATCCTCAGTATTCGGAGTATTCCTCTTTTTGTTTAGTTAATATTCATTATTTATTTTTTTTATAAAAATATAGCAAAGTCTATAACAGAGACTATGCAATTACGAGTTTAAAATTTTATAATAGGGGTATTCATCTAATGTCACAAACTTTATGGAATTTATAATTGTACCACGTTTTTCAACAGTTTATCACGTCATATGAATACCCCTAATAAATGAAAATGGTGTTGCCATTTTTGTTATATAAATACGTAAAAAAATAGGTAAACATACTCTGTATGGAAGCAAATGCGTAACAACTTCCATGAAAAAATTAAATTAAAATTATTAAAAAAGTTTGAAATTTTTATGAAAGTTTGTTGAATTATTATAAACTAGACGGCCACGAATGCGTGGGGCTTTTCTAGCGCTGATTGTGAACGTACATACATCTCACTTTTAAGTCCAATGAACAGCCTACGCCTTATAAATTTGCGCACCGGTGGCAACCCTCTTCGAAAAAATAAACCCTTATTGCATATCTGAAAGCCAAGCTCTGTCATTTGACACCTTTTTTTAATTTGAATGTACTGTGCAAATCAATTTTTAAATAGGTGGCAACTCTACACAAAAAAATAAAGGCTTCTTACACATCCTGCGGCGATACCCTATCACTTGGTACCTAATTTTTTAATACAACGAACAGTGCGGATCTTATAATTTTTCGCATAGGTGGCAACGCTACTCAAAAAATAGTTCATTATTTTTTATAATCCAACGAACAGCGAACATCTTATAGCTTTTCGCACAGGTGGCAACCCTCTTCTAAAAAATAAAACCTTATTGCACAACTGATGGTCAAGCGCTTTCATTTGGCACCTCATTTTGACTGCACCGTGCAAATCTGATGTTATTAACAAAAACCCACTGCAAAAAAAATAAAATAAAAGCCTGATTGCACATCCGGAGACCATATTCTTCCACTTAGTACCTCATTTTTGATCCTACGAACGGTGATGATCTTATAATTTTTTAAAAAGGTGGTAACCCTACTCAAAAAATAGTACATACGCCTCATTTTTTGTAATCCCACGCACGTTGGGGATCTTATAATTTTTTAGACAGGTTTCAAGCTTATAGAAATTCTCAGTACTAAAGATAATAGCTTTATGGATACAGATTATACAAAAAAAAATCTCGTCCAAATCCGTTCAGAAGTTTTCGAGTTTAGAGTGGTCAAAAAATCTCGGCTTTGCTTAAAAAAAAAATTAATGAATATTAAATAAGCGAAAGGAAGACTGTCAACACTAAAAATCAAAAGGGGGCACACTATGCAAGTGGCCAGTACTGTATATGTACATATGTATATGACACTGTTTGAGTGTGGCAGGATTAAGCGAGTTGATTCCCGGAAAGCAAGAAATCGAAGTAAACACAACAAGACGCCTGAAATGCGCAGCCAAAAAAAAAAACATATGGTAAGTACCCCCCTGCATGAATTAGATTTCCGGTTTATTTGAGAGAGATAAGAAAAATTAAGAAATACTCAACATACAGACAAAAAAAAAAAACTTTCGCAAAATCTCAAATAATTTTTTCTGCATAAATTTTCAGTACAATTAGGAGGAGTCTTCTAGTATAGCGTCATTCAATTTAAATGGCGAAAGTGCTTGCGAATCGTGGCCTCAGCACAGCTGTGAGTGAAAGTTGCTCCTACTGCTGCCGAACCAAGGACAATGCGATATACAGTTAATAATACAATGGAATGACAAAACACTCACAAATCGAAATCTCAGCCCCAAACAATCGACTGCTGAGAAGTAAGCATACATTAAACTAACAATAGAAGACGGTAAAATAAATCAAAATCAAAATCAAAAAGAAAAATAAAAATAAAAATAGATTTGAAAGGGCAGTAAACAAAAAGAAGTTTAAATGCTGCTGTGGTGGTATAGGCAAACACAGGCAAAAAAATAATGATCACGTTTTTCTGCTCCATATTATTCATTGAATGATTTATTATTATTATACATAGCATGGCATGGCTGCTCGCATGTGCGCACGCACACGATTAGGATGAAATAAAAAATTGGAAAATGGAAAAATTACGCTCTAAGGGATGTGTGTGTGTGTGTGGAAATCTTTTGGTTATGAAATTTCTGTGAAATTCCAAAAATAGACTCAGCTTTTATGAGAGAATATAAATATTTTTGGAACGAAGGAAGAGGGGAAAGAATAAGGAGTGAGTAAGTTAAAATTTATTAAAATAGCAAAAAGAAAAAAAAAAACATAAATAAACAAGGACAGTGTGTTCTCGGCCAATAAACGAAGGCTTTGTACAATATTTGAATTTTAAAGTAAAAATATAAATTTTTAAAGCACCACACCTACGTAAATGAAGGAGTTATGCTACCAAAAATTCATAACTGATAAAATATGGATATTGAGTATATACCTTTTGGAGCGGCGTTTTTTTTTTGATTTGCTCCGTGTATTTTGTATGATTTGTAAGTTAAAAATGCTTACACAAGTTCACAGTTTTAGCTGCCTCAAGGAAGGACTAAGAAACAAGAACTCATACCTAAACAATCAATTGTGAATGGGTGCTGTAAGTTATATATATCTGTAAGATATATATATCGCTGTACATCTTCATAATAAATAGAATACAAAATGAAATGTACTAACAGCCACACTCAGAGTCATTTAATGATTACTTAAGATGTTTCTCAGTAACGATTTGAAAAATCCCCTCTCAGAGTCGGTTAATGATTTTTAAACGGTATTTAATAAACCTAAAAGTTAAGTAAAGAAAAACCTTTACTTAACTTTTTAACAAATGATTTTGAAATATTTTGTTTGTTTCCAAAAAATATCAATTTCGATAACGTTTCGCGCCACTCAAGAGATTCGAATTCAATCCTCGGCAACGGTTTTTTTCCTTTTTTATAAATTTTTTTTTCTTTTTTTTTTGCATTATTTTGCGTAAAAAATAAATACTTTTTTTATTTAATATTTAGAAATTTTTTGATTAAACTTTTTTACTTTCATTTTCTCAAATTTTAGTTTTTCTTGTTAAAAAATAATACTTTTTTAATTTCGTTTAGTTTGTGGAAAACTTATTGCTAAACGATAAATACAATAACGCTATCCTCCTCGTCAGCAGATTTTTTAGACTTGTTTTTTTCGAAAAACTGTGGTGAGTTGAAAGACATGCCAGAATTGGATTGTTAGTGGTTTTGTTTGTCTTTTAGCAAAAAAAAAAATAAATGAAATAAAAAAAATTAGTTTCCTTTAAAAAAAAATATGTTCAACAAATCAAAATAAAACTAAATAAAAAAGGAAAAAATAAAATCAAAATAGTTTTTTAAATAAAAAAAATAAAAAATGCAACAAGAAAATCAAATAAATAAAAAAAGTAAAAAGAAAATTTTCCTGCCCCAGGACTCGAAATCCGAACTCTCGAATGACACGCTAGTGGTCTGCTCACTCAGCCATTGCGACTGTTGAGGCAGTGCGCGCAAGATGATATAAATATCTTATTTTTATACTTGATTTCAAACTGAACGAAAAAAGTGGATGATGCCACAAAAAAAAAGGGCCGCATTAGTTAAGTGTCCCTTAAAGCTAATTTAAAGAATGTTTCTGAGTGTGGCTGTTAGCTGCTTAGAGATAACACGATTTATACATTTGTAAA